TGTGATAAGATCAAAGTCGTGGCAGGCGAGATTGGGGAGAGACGATTCTGATCGACAACATCAACTCGCTGAGATCACAGGGACGGCTGGCCGGACAACTTCAAACATCCGGGGGCGCAGAGCATGTGACCGGATGATCGAAACCAGGTGGGTACATAGGGTATCCACTTGGGTTCAAGTGCCACTGATAAATCCCTGGAGACCAGTAATGCCTTAGCAAATAATACATTTGCTAAGGGGTCTTATTAAATCTGTCAAGCCCTAATGTTAGGACAGCTTTGATCTAATTCAAGACAAAAAACTGGAATTTCTGGTATCAGCGGAGGAAGAAACAATGGTACAGCACAGCAGAGGGGGAGCAGGAGAAAGGTTCCAGTCCTTGCTAGCTGCTACTCTACTGCCTGAGCTTTCACAACGTCCTGTGGATACCTTCAGATTCTAGATATAGGAAGCCTCTTTCTTTACAAAGAATGCAAAGGGACATTTTTCTTTAAGTCCTGCTATAATCAGGTATCTGGATCAAGTTAGCGCCACAGCCAAAATCAAAATTATTGTGAAAAAAGAAAAAGAAAGAAAAATGAAAAGTTAATTAACAGCTACATTTGATCTGTCCGCTCCCACCAGAAAGCAGGGCAATAGGTTCCATTATTGCAAAAGAATCTTTATCTGGGCGTTGATCATCTTGTTACTTGACATGGAAGCAGATGGCAAATTACAGTGTAACTAGTAAACATCCTAAACAGATAATAAACTTATTTTTAACGCACAAAGGGAAGGTTTCACATTAACAAAGTAATTCACGACCAAAAAACCCCCAAAACAAACAGCTGAGTTTCTTCTAAAAATGTTATCCCTATTGAAAGAGCATGAGTTTATTACATAACAGCATCTTCAAGTCATTACTCAACACTACAAAAAACTTTCTTCCACCAACCACAAAAAAAGAGGCTCAGTGAAAGGCAATGTGATTTAATAGTCTGAGCAGGAGACCAGCAGTCAGGATTCCTGGGTCCTGTGTCATTCTGCCACTGCCTATGTGACAGAGCTTGGATAAGTCATTTAACCTTCTTGCCTTCCAATTTACCCACCACTAAAATGGGTATGAAACAACATACCCAAGTAACAGAACTTCTCTGAGTTTAATGTTGGAAAAAAAAAATTTTGCAAATGAAAGAAGCAGCAAGAGGGAGGGGAAAGAGTGTATGATACAGTCTTATGGATGATGTTCTTTCCCATTACAAGCAAAAGACCAGCTCCCCTCCAATTTATGATGTCACATAATCCTGATGGCAGTTATTTACATGAGGATTAATATTCAGAAATGATTAAAATGTATTCCAGCTGGTCTTTAAAGCAGTTTAGCAGCTGGAAACAAGGAGCAGAACTGACGTGCGATCATAAACCACAGAGTAGGAACCACAGTTATAAACTCAATTCTACCCTGAGCGAAGTTGCAGGATTTCACTGACATCACAAGACTTGCCACGTTTTCTCTCATAGCTATGATAATGTCAATCAGGAAGGCGAGAGCAAAGTTGGGGGGGGGGGGGGGGG